TTCACATGTATTTATATTTATCACAATTAATACGCATCGCACATCAACTAGGATTCACGCCCGTAGGCTACCCACAGCACACATCATCACAATAGATCATATCTATATCATATCATAGAGGCATTCCCCTATGAGAAGCAACCAAACCATCTCCACATGATCAACACAGCAAAAGAAAAATGCTGTCACATTCGCCTTCATTCGCCTGGCGAACCCTTGCAACGAACACTCGCTAGGCTTCGCCTGACGAGACTTCCCAGTGAGCCCAAGTCAGTAGCTACTGACTTCATTCGCCACCATTCGCCGACACCTTCGCTGGGCGAACCTTCACTATCCACCTTCGCTTGGCGAACTCGCCAGCGAAGTCCACTGGGACTTAATCATAATTACTCGCCAGGATTCGCTAGGCTTCGCCTGGCGAAGCTTCGCCTTCGCCTCGCCTGGCGAGAGAGCCAGCGAACCTGCGCAGAACAGAACCCTATTCTGCCTCTCCTTCATCAATCCATCATCAACCAAACCTCAAACATCCAAATCAGTACAAATAACATCAATACATGTTACCCCGACTATTCTACGGCATTATTGCTCAGTTTCAACCGATTAAATCATCAATCTACCGATTAATCCAACATTTTCCCTAATTGGAAAGTGATGAAGACTCTACCAAAACCCCAACCCAACATACATAACATCATGCAATGATCAAATAGAAACATTTCTCACCCTTACCTCGATTAATCGGAGCTTTGATGTTGGTTCTTGATGATTTTTCCACTTTTCCTCTTCTTCTCCTCTCTTTCTCTTCTTTCTTCTTTCTTTCCTCTTTCTCTCCAAATGTTTCTAACTTTCTTTTCTTTTCTTCCTCACTTATATATATTCCTTTTATTTTCTTTCTTTCCAATTTCCTTTCAATTATCTATTAATTCCAATTAATAAAATTAATTCCAATATTAACATAAAATCCCACTAAATCAATTAATTACTACAATTAATTATTTAATGAAATTTGGGCTGTTACAACCTGTCCTGGCCATCAGTGCAACGTTTGCACATTCTTCTTCTGATTCAGAAGATGATTCACACTCATCTGAGTCATCCCATGTTGCCATCAGAACCTTCTTCTTTTTGTTGAACTTCTTCTTAGGTTTTACTTTCAGAAGTTTGGGGCAGTCATTCTTGTAGTGCCCAGGTTCTTTGCACTCATAGCACACAACTTCTTTCTTAGCAGATCTTCTGTGACTAAAAGATTCCTTTCTGTTGCCAGATCTTCTGAAGTTGTTGAACTTCTTTCCCTTGTGCTTCCAGAGTTTATTAATCCTTCTGGAGAGCATGGATAACTCATCTTCTTCTTCAGAAGAAGATTCTTCAGAGCTTTCTTGAATGACCTACAAAGCTTTAGCAGTTTTGTTAGATTTTAATGCTACAGATTTACCTTTATCTTTCTTCTGAGGTTCATCTTCCTCAAGCTCAATCTCATGGCTCCTCAGTGAGCTGATGAGTTCTTCTAGAGAGATCTTGTTCAGATCTTTGGCCATCTTTAGGGCAGTCACCATTGGTCTCCATCTGATAGGCAGACTTCTGATGATTTTCTTTACATGATCTGACGTAGAATATCCCTTGTCCAGAACTTTCAGCCCAGCAGTGAGTAATCTGGAATCTGGAGAACATGGCTTCAACAGATTCAGAGTCTTCCATTTTGAAAGCCTCATACTTCTGGATCAGAGCCAGAGCTTTTGTCTCCTTAACTTGAGAATTTCCCTCATGTGTCATTTTTAGGGATTCAAACATATCAAAAGCTGTCTCCCTGTTTGTGATTTTCTCATACTCTGTATGTGAAATAGCATTCAGTAGTATGGTTCTGGCTTTATGGTGATTTCTGAAGTCTTTCTTCTGAGAATCTGTCATAGATTTTCTGTCAATCTTTTTGCCATCCCCATCTGTGGGATGTACATATCCATCTATGACAAGATCCCATAGATCAACATCATATCCTAGGAAAAAACTCTCAATTCTGTCTTTCCAGTAATCAAATTTTTCTCCATCAAACATTGGGGGTTTGGTGCTGATCCTATCCCTCTCTTCATATTTATTGTTAATATTTGACATTGAATTATCAGCCATGATAACAAATAAATATATATATCAAAGTATATCTCTCTGGATCTTTACTGACACTGTTAAGTGATAGCACACTCAGAACCGGAGCTCTGATACCAACTGAAGGTGAGATAATACTTAGAAGGGGGAGGGGGGGGGGGGGTTGAATAAGTATGGAAAATTAATACTTGAAAATAATCACACAATTATTTTTATCCTGGTTCGTTTAACAACTACTCCAGTCCACCCTTCCTAGAGTGATTTGCCTTTCTCAACAAGGACTTAATCCACTATTAAATCAAACTGATTACAATAGTATCACCTAAGAACAACAATTCTTAGTCTTCTTAAGAGCTACTGATTCTAACTGAATCTTATTAAGGAATATCCTTTACAATCAATGTAAATTAAATACAAGAGATTTAATGCTTCTAAAAAGCTTTTATCACAACAGTGATTTTTCTCTTAAGTTTAAGTACAATAAATTCTTAGAAGAATAAGAATGAATGAGAGCTTTAGAATATATTGATTTCTTTTCAGCAAAGTGTGTAACTGAAGAATGTGGTGAAGATCTCCTTTTATAGGCAGCTGAACCATGCAAGCTGAACGTTGAAAAGAGAGTCTCAAAAGGTCTGAACCTTTTTGTCTTCACATCAAGTGACCTTTCCTAGAAGTCGATGGCACAGAAAAATCCTTTTTGTCTGTGTAAGTGTGTCTAGCACAAATAAGGAAAGAGACGTTGAATAGCTCCAACAGATATATTCTTGAAAATGCTTCTTCAGTTTTCAGCAAGTTCTTCAGAGTCTGAATGGATCAGAGTCTTCTAATGAGATTCAGAACTATGCTATATCAGAGTCTTCTGCAGCATGTGTGCTTCTAGCGTGTTGATCATCAGAGCATTTTGACACAAAACTTCAGTACTTGGCAGCGTTGGTACTTTCAGAAACTTCTGTAGACTAATGCTTTGAGAAACTCTTCAATCAATATTCTTCTTTACTTCAGATGCTTCAGCTTCAGATGCTTCTGATTATCTTCAGATGCTTCTGACTCAGAATGTTCTGGAGCTTCTTGCTTCAGATCCTTCTGGAGACTACGCTCAGGATCTTCTGTAAGGAGCAAACAGATTCTTCTGTAAGATGCATCTGGCACTTCAGAGTCAGAATAACTTCTTGTATTCAAGGCAGATTTGCTTCTAGAGAGTTAATATTATTTCAATCTGCAGTAAAACTCTCAAACAAATTTTAGAGTATATAATTCTTAAATATAAATTTCCTAACAGTTATCATCAAAACAAATAGTAATTATTAAGAACCAATCTGTGTTCTAACAGTTTTTAAGAGTTTTTCTACGTAAAAATAGAATTTGTGGTAAGAAGAGGCAAGAACTTGGGTTAAAGGAAACTCCATTGTTAGAGCTTAAAGTTTGCATCTCGTTGGAAAATCTAAGGTAAGAGGAGATTATTCCTAATAAGGTGTATTTTGCATGTTTGAGTTGACCAGACTCTTAAGAAATTAGTGACAGATTATCATTGCATTTGCAATCAATGTTGATTATTGGATTAAGTTCTTGTTAACGGTGAATCAAGATAAAATCATTGATTACTTTATCTTTGTTTTTATTGCTTCAAGCTTTTGTTTTGGGTTGAAAAAATCTATCATACTTGAAACCCAATTCAAACCCCTATCTTATGTTTCTTGAACCTCCGCCGCTTTCTTTTTCCTTATGATATCTTCTCCATTAAGTCCGAGTCATCAGATTTTTACCTAAAATGTTCTTTTAACCATATGAGTACTTTTTGGATATTTGAGAATTGTCATTGAACGAGGAACCAACACTTACCTCAATCACCTTCCACTCTTCTTGGTCGACATTGGGCTTTCCCACTAGTCAAACCCATTCAACAACAAAAGTAGCATCGGGTGGCACACAAGTTTTTCGAATCCTCCATTGGCTTGAGAGTTCTTCTGATTTTTGATAAGGAACACCTCTTTTATCAAAGACATATTTGAGAGGGATGAAGGAGTGTGCAAGAAAAGTAAATCTCATTTTCATAATATGTCAATGTTTTCTCTTAGATGTACCACTTTGGCGTGAGGTATGTGGACAAGTTATCCTGTGAGATATGTCCAATTCATCCAGTAACTTGGTGAATAGTCTGAACTCTCCCCCATTATCTGATTGCACTGCTTTATTGGTAGTGTGAAGTCGTGTCTTAACACAGTAAAGAAATAATTTGAAAGGTGAAAAAGCTTCTAACTTGTGGTGCAAGAAATATATCCATGTATATTTTGTGGAAGCATCCACAAATTCTATATAATATAAGAATCCTGAGCTTGAAGGATGAGATGTAGGACTCTAAAGATCAGTGTCACTTTAAAAGGAGCATTGTAAGTGTTGAAGATAATAGTGCATTAATTCTATGTGACTTGCTAAGACAACATGATTTAGAAAACACACTAGAACTTTTATTTGATACATGAATATTACAATGCTTTAAAGCAAACCTAATGGCTGAAAAATGTGCACGTCCTATTTATTGATAACTTAGTTTTCTTACTTCTTAATTTATTAATGTTTTTTCTTCTATTTATTGATAACTTAGTTTTCTTACTTCTTAATTTATTAATGTTTTTTCTTCTATTTATTGATAACTTAGTTTTCTTACTTCTTAATTTATTAATGTTTTTTCTTCTATTTATTGATAGCTTAGTTTTCTTACTTCTTAATTTATTAATGTTTTTTCTTCTATTTATTGATAAAAAAAACATAATGTACACCAAGTGGACTGTTGCAGCATTAACAACGAAATGAAGAGATAAAAAATGAAGCTATTAATGAATCGGAACTAGCATGCTTAATGCTAACTATATAGATGAATGGCTGAATGAGTGAAGAACATAATATCAATGTCCTTGGCCAGGTGATGGGCCCGAATCCTTAATCCCACCAAGAGTCTCCCTGTTGGTAAACTTGTGTCCCACCCCTCCGGAACTTGGACCGGAATCCTTAATCCCTCCGAGTGTGTTTACATTGGTGAATTTATGTCCCACCCCTCCGGAACTTGGACCCGAATCCTTAATCCCTCCGAGTGTGTTTACGTTGGTGAATTTATGTCCCACCCCTCCAGAACTTGGACCAGAATCCTTAATCCCTCCGAGAGTCTCAACTGGCACGGCTTGCTTGATTTCTCCAACAGAATGAGATAACCAACCAAAAAAATCGACGACTTCATCTCTAGTATCAGAGTTTTTTCTGTCAATGATACTGAATGGGCGAGCTTCTAAGATCATAAAAAGAGAGTTCATCAACATGAAGAGAACCAAGAATACCTCAGTTTTGACGATAGTGCTTTTCATGTTTTCTAAAATTTGAAACACTTAAAAAAGAAGGTAGATGGAAGTTTGTTTATGTTGTTGATATTTGTGAATCATGAGGAGATAAAGAGTCCTCTTTATAGCATGGATATTAGAATTTGGTATCTTGACTAAAATGTGGAAAGAGACTTCATGAATTGAAATATAATATTTTTAATGTAGTGTTCAAAATTTAAAATTCAAAACCAACGTGGGTGTATGATTTTCTAACGAGGAAATAACTTGGGAGGTTCTGAGTTCTAAAAACCAATTTCGATTGTATGATGAGCTCAGCTGCTTGTAAATTGAAGACCAAAACTTTTTATTTCAATATTACTGATGTCAAGTATCAACCGGTTTTTGTTGACGACTAGTAGTCTGACTAACCTTTTAGTAGAATCTCCTCTCTCAAGCTAATGTGTTATCTTCCAACTTGAATATAAAATCTTATTATTTAGGGGTTTGTTTTACCTTTAAAAAAATAATTTATTTTTTATTTTAAAATATTAAAGGTTCTTTTATATAATTTTTTATAAATTGAAAAACTAATTCTAATATATGTAGTATAATTGTTAAAGATTAAATCATATTCTAAATCACAAAATTTTCAAAAATAGATATCTAAAAACAATTTATAAAAATTATTTCAATTAATTTATTATTTAGAATTTTTTTTAAATTATAATTATTTTAAAATAAAAATATATAACACTGAAAATCATTAAAAGAAACTAAAATAATATGCCTCATATTCTAAATTGTGGTTCTACTTAGATCAATAGTAATATTGGTACACCAAGATATTGTATTGTCAAAAAATTAAAAGAGAATTTAATACGTGATTTTTAAAGCATTTAAAAACTCATATTGGTGATCAATCCAATTTAAGATATTGAGTCATGGTTAAATATGTGTATAGTTCTTATAAAAACTTCAACTTCGTATTTATTTTTTTGAAATATTTTTTTAAAAAAATATCCTTTTAAAAATTTTAATTTATATTTTTTTTCATCCTAGAACTTAGCGATAGTTTTTACAACTTAGCGATTAACAATAATTTTAGCGACGGTTTTTAACTTTGTGACTGAATTAGAGACAATTTTAGTATTAGGGATCAAAAGTGTGGAGAAATTTTTTAGAAAGACCATTCTTTGAAGAAAACATTTTAAGGGACTAAAAACGAAATTTAAAATATTTAGAAAGATCACAAACATATTTAACCCTTGAATCATTAGGTTAAAGTTAGATTGCATCACTAATAAATCTACACGACTATTAACTCGTCCTTTACTAAAAATATAAATAGAAAATATATATATTTTGTGCATAATTTTTTTACAAAAATATATACAATTAACTAATTTTTTAAAATTTACATAATATTTTATGCCCGTGAAACTATTTTTTTAAGAAGTTAGATTATATATATATATATATATATATATATATATATATATATATATATATATATATATATATATATATATATATATATATATATATATATATATATATATATATATATATATATATATATATATATATATATATATATATATATATATATATATATATATATATATATATATATATATATATATATATATATATATATATATATATATATATATATATATATATATATATATATATATATATATATATATATATATATATATATATATATATATATATATATATATATATATATATATATATATATATATATATATATATATATATATATATATATATATATATATATATATATATATATATATATATATATATATATATATATATATATATATATATATATATATATATATATATATATATATATATAAGTTAATTTATGTCGAATGGATCGAGGGAACGAAATCAATTTTCTTATAAGTATTTTAAGCACTCTCAAATGTTTTAGAATTGAAACGCAGGAATCCGCAGGATAATTCAGTCTATATTCGAGTTTATACATGACCGGTGAAAATTTGAATGTAGAAAAGATTAAATCTAGAACTTTGTGTGAAGAGGATATATTTTTGTGTTGTATTTTTTTGAATCCAGAATACTCAATTTATAGGACAAAATAGTATTTTTTTACAAGGTTGCGACTGTAAGAGCACAGATTGTGTCTTAGTTATATCTCTATGTTTTGATGATAACACTTATAAATTTTGTATTCAAGAATTATATACTCTAAACGTGTTCTAGATTGTTTGCTACAGGCACTAAAGAAAATTATCTTAAGAAAGCAAAATTGCATCTGAACATTGTTCGTATGAAAGGCTTCATAAGTTCAAGAGCATCTTAAGTGAAGATCTGAACACTGCTCCCAGAAGATTCTGAGCACTGTCTCTTGAAGATTCTGAAGAAGGAGCCTCTAAAGCTTAGAAGACTCTGCTCTGAAGGATTTACACGCTCAAGCACACAAGCTGCACATACTCTGATTCAGCTCATTTTTGAAGAACATTCAAGACTCTGAAGATCCAGATGATCCGTGGTCTGGAGACTCTGAAGATTCAGATTCTAATGTTAAAAGCTGAACTTACTTTGAAGAAGATTCAAATATGTACGTTGGTTTTTCTCAACAGCTCTTTCCTATTTTGTGCTAGACACACGGACACAGACAAAAAGGTTTTATCTGTGCATTCCATTCTGAGGAAAGTTTTCTGCAAGTGAAGACAAAAAGCATCAGGCTTGTTTCAGCACAACCTCCAATGTGAAGACAAAAGGCTTTAAGCTTTTCTGCACAACCTTCAACGTAACAAGACTTCTTGGATCTTAGTGCCTATATAAAGAAGTCCACTCCATCTTCTTCAGTATCGAATCTCTAGCAAAATCTCTACTCAAAGCAAACCTTTCAAAGCTCTTAATCATATTACTTTGCTTTATCTTTATTCTTAACTTAAGAGAAATATCACTGTTGTGATAACAGCTTATTAGAAGCATTCTTACTCTTGTAAAAGTTTTACTTTGTATTGTAAAAGGTTTACCTTAAGAGGATCCAGTTGGGATCAGTTGCTCTTGAGAAGACTAAGAACGGTTGTTCTTAGGTGTTGCTATTTGTAATCTGTTTGATTAAAATAGTGGATTAAGTCCTTGATAGAGAAAGGCAAATCACTCTTGAGAGGGTGGACTGGAGTAGTTGTTTTCAACGAACCAGGATAAAAATATCTGTGTTCTAATCTCTGATTTTTAGTCTTACTTATTCAACCCCCCCTTCTAAGTAATTTTCTCACCTTCAGTTGGCATCAGAGCTCCGGTTCTGCGTGTGCTCCACTTAACCGTGACAGTTAAAGATCCAGTGAGAAAGATACTTTGATATTTGTGTTGTTGCCGTTATGGAAACATCTACATCAACTTGCAACAACAAATATGAAGGAGATAGGATCAGTACCAAGTCACCCATGTTTGATGGGGAAAAATTTGACTATTGGAAAGATAGAATAGAAAGTTTTTTCCTCGGGTATGATGCTGATCTTTGGGATATGGTCATTGATGGATATAAACATCCTACTGATGAGGATGGCAAAAAGATTGATAGAAAGTCAATGACTGAAGTACAGAAAAGAGATTTCAAGAATCACCACAAAGCCAGAACTATATTGCTTAATGCAATCTCTCATACTGAGTATGAGAAGATTACAAACAGAGATACTGCTCATGACATGTTTGAGTCACTCAAAATGACTCATGAGGGAAATTCTCAGGTTAAAGAGACCAAGGCGCTGGCGCTCATACAGAAGTATGAGGCATTCAAAATGGAAGAGTCTGAAAATGTTGAAACTATGTTTTCTAGATTTCAGATTCTTACTGCTGGTCTGAAAGTTCTGGATAAGGGCTACTCAACGTCAGATCATGTCAAGAAGATCATCAGGAGTCTTCCCACCAGATGGAGACCAATGGTGACTGCATTGAAGATGGCAAAAGATCTGAACAAGATCTCCTTAGAAGAACTTATCAGTTCTTTGAGAAGTCATGAAATAGAGCTGGAGGAAGATGAACCCCAGAAGAAAGATAAAGGTAAATCCATAGCTTTAAAATCTAACAAACCTGTTAAAGCTTTGCAGGTAAAAGAAGAAAGTTCTGAAGAATCGTCTTCTGAAGAAGAAGATGAACTGTCCATGCTTTCCAGAAGAATCAACAAGCTCTGGAAGCACAAGGGAAAGAAGTTTAACAACTTCAGAAAAGCTGACCATAGGAAGGAATCTTCTGGACACAGAAGATCTGGAAAGAAAGAGGTCACATGCTATGAATGCAAGGAACCTGGGCACTACAAAAATGACTGCCCCAAACTTCTCAAGGAGAAACCCAAGAGAAAGTTTGATAAAAAGAAAAAGGTTCTTATGGCAACTTGGGATGATTCAGATGAATCTGAATCTGAATCTGAAGCAGAAGAAGAGTGTGCCAACATGGCATTAATGGCTGGAATAGAAGATCAGAATGAAGAATTATCATCTGAATCTGAGTCAGACTCCGACTCTGATGCTGAAGAGGTAATGTCCAAACTTACCAAAGATGAACTTATAAAGGTGTTATCTGAAGTTTTGAAAAGCTACAATAATATCAAACTCAAGAACAAGAAGCTGAAAAGCAATCTTGAATCTGAGATTGATAATCTGAAAACAGAACTTGTTGAGCAGAGAGAAATAAATTTAAAAATAAAAAATGATTTGGAAATTGTTCAACAAGAATCTGACTCTGAAGCTAAGTCATCTGAAAATATTTTGGAAAAATATGACTCTAGTTTTCAGAGGTTCCTCACTAAAAGCATAGACAGAAGTAAGATGGCTTCTATGATCTATGGAGTTAGTAGGAATAAAAGAAAGGGAATTGGATTTCAATCTTCTTCTCTTGAAAAAGATGTAAGACCAATACCTGTAGATGATCTGATCATTAAGATAACTCCTTTATACTCTAATTTTAAATTTGGTCATTTAAATGATATTAAACACACGAGCTCTGAAAAGAATACTCATGTGTTTAGATCTAAGGCAAGT